TTCTGTCCTCTACAAAGGGCTGTTGGACTTTTGTGTGTGTGCGCATGCGTGTGTGTGTCTGTATGTGTGTGTGTGTAAGATTGCCTTGAATACTGGAGACATAGTATATAATACTATATGAGTCTGCATAATAAATAATGTTATGCTATAGATTATTTTTCTGATGATGCCGGCACATTTATAAGTCTAGAACTTCTTTGAGCACTTTCTATCAGTCATTGTTATTAGTACCAGGATCATGAACAGGAGTGCTGATGACTCTTCACCTCTGTCTCCTCTCACAGGGAGTACACAGGGTACTCATGTATCTCGTACGTAGTGTTTCTTTTTAGGTTTGTTATTTTTCAAATTCTGTATTTATTAAGTTATGCAGGCTTGTTTGCACAACAAGGTTAAATAGTTATATAAACTTTCCTGACTCTAAATACTGGACTTTGGTAGAATTAAAACATAACAGTAGTGCAGGTCTATGATGATTTTCAGTGTTTTGATTCTGGTTCTGTCTTGGTTAAGTCCTCAGTAGTCCTGATTTTAAACTGTTGTAGTCCTGTTTTAATTCTGGATCAGTTCTGGGTCTGGTTGAATTGGGGTTTAGTCCTCGTATCTTGATACAGCCTTGATTTTGTTCTGCCTTGCTGCTTAATTAAAAAACTAGTTTAAGGTGTCCTGCATATGTGATATATATTATTTCCTATATGATGTCATTCTTTTTTGAACAAAACTCAAAACAGAGCCTAATAAATCTTTCAGTCATTTCTAACCATTTTATTGCTTTGCAACAAAAGGTTTTATAATGATAGATATCATTGCCATTGTGAAGTTTTGCCTCTTGACTTTTGAGGCAGGTCTCAGATGCTGCTCAGGTGCGTCCTGCAGTGGAGGAGGACGCACCTCCAGAGACGACACCGGAACTCAGTAGTTATTTTACAAAACCTTTATTCACCTTCAGTTACAGATGCACCTTCCAGAAGGGGAGATGTACAGGGCCGGTGTCCCTCTGCAGATCTCAACTTCTTTGTCTGTTGCAACCAGTCTTATAGAAGCGACCTGCCCATCGTAAAACCCACATGATGTGTTATAAACCCAAAACACTGTGTTTGTGTATGTATGTGCGAGCATGTGAGTACCTGGGTGTGTGTGTACGTGAGTAAGTGTGTGTGTGTCGTAACACTTAAAGCACTGGGTGTGTGTGATAAGGATTTTGAAAGGGACTCAGGCGCAGGCCAGGTTTTTCTGTTATGCGAAAGACGGTGCGTTTATTTACAGTGAGCACAATCACCAAGTGGCTATATACAATGTGCAGGGGAAAGGGGTCCGGGTCGCCAGGGTCCGTGGGGAAACAGGGTTAGGAGAAAAGGTGCTCCACACTCTCTGTACAAAAGCTCCAAGTCCTCCTCCTCTGCCACTCTTCTCAGGTTCCAGAAACGATCTACACACAAGAGGTCAGGTTAGCGGGATAATCACAAAAGCTTTAAAGATTCAGGTTTGCAGATGCACAAGTTGACTGACGCTGATAGCTCAACGATCCAGCGAAGACTAGCGTAGACCCGCCATCTTAAGTAGTGCAGCAATCAGCTGGGATCAGCGGCCGGTGCGGTGATGAGAGCAGGTGTGTGGGCCAGCAGCGGGAGCCGGCAATGAGCGTCGCTGTGGCGAGAGAGAGAGAGCGAGAGGGGGAGTGGGAGTGGGAGAGAGCAAAAAAAACAAACATGCCTAATAGAGGGTCGACCAGCGAGGCACAGGGACCATGACACTGTGTATATGTGACTTCCTGCTGGTCATAAAAGTCCATCTCCCCTCCAGACCATAATTAGACCATGTGACAGTTATGAGCTTTTATTACATTCAGGGACAAGGGTAACATTCTTCTCCTCTCTTTCCTATCTGTTCCATACAGTCCCAGCATCCCCCAACTGTAGCTTCCTGTCTCCTTTTATGACAGGCAGACCCCCAGTGTCAATAAATTCCCATCCCTATACACAATTACACACACTCTCAGGCCTATAGCTAAACCAAACTAAAACACACACACATTCACAAATCCTTCCCTATTCCTCTGATCTACAGCTCGACCCTCTCATCTAAGCAAATTTAAGCACATTATATTCTAATAATTGTTTTCTTGTACTCACAAATGGAGTTGAAGTTTGTTTGGGATCTGAATTGGTCTGTAGAGTACATAAAAGAAGCACATCTCAGATTTGTTTTAATGTCATCAGGAGGCTGGCTTAATCTTCCCAGCAACCTCTTGTACACAGAAAGGGTAAATTTGTGTGTTACAAGAACAACACACAAATAGATTACACACATTTTTTTCCTCCTGTACATCATTCCTGTTTTACTGTTGTCTTCAAACATTACTCATGAAACCACCCCAAAATAACAACAGCGCCTTTCTTGGAAGTTACTGAAAACTGAACTGAAGCTGTAGTGAACACAAACAGAGGAACAAACTGGCTGATGTAACCTGACCTCAGGCAGCCGGGCGTGACAGCTGTGTTTGCATATGAAAATACACTTGGTTCCGTGTCCTGTAAGGACTGATGAAACAGGTACAGAGTGAAAGAAGGACACACAGCAAACGTATGTATTTTACCTTTTATTTATTTTCTTTCCTGCTACTAATGAATTATTAGTCAGCCAGCTTTCTTGTGAACAATGTTAAATATTTCTGTTAGTACACATCATTGTGTGAAGCTGAGGTTGATTATATGGGATAATGTTGTCCTCTGAAAGGGGGCTCGTGACCACAAAATGTTTGAGAACCTCTTTTCTGGACCGAGTAGACTGAAGGTTTCCCACTGCAGGCAGAACAGACTCTGTTGGAAGGACTAAAGGTGAGACATGAACCATTAATTTGTTTTGTTCTGTTTTTTGTTCTGTTTTATTTTCAGACATTTGTTATTTAAGCTCATCATGACTGACATAACTGTTAATGCCTCTGGTTGATGAGCTCTCTGTGTAGTTTATCATATTTGATTCGGGTTGGTTGGGTCATTTCTGGTAGCAGGGCTCTAGACTGCAACCAATTGGGTTGCAAATGCAACTAAATTTTTCAATGGTGCCACAAAAAAAAAAAATCCTTGCAGGTCTCC